TTCCTTTTAGTTGAACATCTAGTTGAGAAATGATTTCTTCAACTAAATTCGGCGATAAAAGGATCTTCCACTTCTCGAAGCAAACTTCTATCCAATGATGGATGAACGGCGAGAGCAATCGTTAAAATAAGTACACCGAATATTAAATTTGTTAAAATTATTTCTAAATCTACTTCGCGATTCGAAAATCGTTATAATGTATGTAGATAATAGCGAAATCATTAAAAATAACGTTAGGTCATTTTAATGATTCGAAAATCGTTATAATACGATAGAGAATTCCCCTACTGTTCCAAATTAAGAGAAAAACCGTGAAAAAATATATTTGAAGAGTAACAAACTCAGTATGAAATATTGGGTTAAGGCTTATGCTGGCAAATGCATGAATTATTTCTTTATTTGATAAGTAATTTTAGAAGAATAATGTCAACTTGTCTTCTAAATAAGTAATTTTTATATGTCACTTAATGCATCTTAACTCAGCGAGTCTATCCTTCCTATAACAATGCTAAGTAAAGAAGTGGTAAAAGTAGGAATGACCTCAAAAGCTGTCATTTTAGAAACAAGAGAGGAGAGGGAAAATTTATTTCGAAGACCATGTTTCTTGTTGACATACTCTTGCTGAAGTTGAAACACTGTGGCCCTACAAATTATGTTGTCCGTGATAAAGTTGTAAAATGCTTCTGCGATGGCTCTTATCCAGCGTTTACTCACATCAAAACTGCACAACGACAATTAGTAAACCAAACTTAACGCTTAGAGACTTTAACAAGGACCTGACTTAATCCATGTAATGTTCTAATATCAGTCAACTTGTTGAAAACTTTGATTAACTCAGCAAATGACAGTAAGGAAAGCTCATTACCATTGGGCTTAAAAAGTTCGGGCGCTAAGCTTTGGTATTTGGTTATGAGTAATCTTTTGAGGCTAAATATCTTATTGTGTTAAAGTAATATATTTTTTGTTCGCGCTTCTAGTCTAAGATGCAAGCATATGTTTCTGATGTTCTGGGGAGAGTGTTCTACTCTTTAGCGACATTTTGCTGAAGTTCTGACCGAATCATCAACTCCTCAGTGTTGTTTATATCTGAAAATCTGCCCTTAAGGCCGATATAAATCATTGCTCTAAAATTTAAATCTGCAGTTTTGGTCTCGAAATATCAATATTATAACGAGTTTGTCACGAAAATTTTTGAGTATTCTTATAAAGAAAGACGTCTTGATATTTTTGCATGATTTCATCTCTTAGAACTGTTCCTGTATCTGACTTTATTCAACCCGGCCTGGCAGTAGCCCTTTCTGTTCTGTCTTTCTACGGAGCTTTTCAACACATTTGCGTTCAATTCATTGCCGCGACTTCAATTTTGCGTTTGAATCCATCTCTTGATGTTTACTGTAGAACTTGTCCTTAACGTCTTCTCTCCAAAAATAGTCTAACGTAGTTAAATTGCAACTGTGAGGCGGCCATGAAAGTCGAAATACAAAATTTCAGTCATACAGAGAGCTGTGACAGCAGTAATTATAAAACTTGCTAATTCTAATGTGAGGCTTCATCAGACGATGTCTGGCATTTCTGTGATCAGCGGGTCTTCTAAGTGCTATTATATCTACTTGTAAAGGTACTTTGCCTGCGCCATTTGCAGAATGTACTGTAACTAGGACTGTACCTCTTCTAACCAACTCTTCTGCTCCCTATGCCTACAAACGAAAGATTGTTTAAAATTTTACTGCATCTTATTGCTAATATTTATTTGGTGTGATAGCATGACCGAAATGCGTGAGTACGAAGAGCTTGAGAAGCTGGACGACAAGGGTACTGCTCGAAAACTCTACGGAAAGATACGGCGACTTACGGAAGGTTTCATAACCAGAGTAAACTATTGTAAGACCCAGAGGGGTTATCTAGTGACGAAAGCCCAGAGTATGCAGAATTTAAGGAGGAAACACTTCTCCACCCTGCTGAACGGCAGTGAAAATGAAACACCCGGAGATGGTGATCCGGCTGGTGCTGACGGCCTATTCAAACATGGTGGTAAACAGCTGTCAAGATGCAAGCATCAGTTCCTCTGCAGATTATGGTCGGACGAAAGCATGCCCGACGATTGGAATATAAATGTGCTCTGTCCAATCAATAAAAAAGGGGACCCCACAGTCTGCGCGAATCACCTTGCGATGGGCCTCCTTAATATCGCACTCTAAGGTCCTTTCAAGCGAATTGTATGAAAGGCTGAAGCGCACCGTCAACAATCTGATTAGACCTTATGAGTGTGGCTTTAGACCTGGTAAGCCAACCATTGACTAGATATTCACCACGCGCCAAAGACTCGTGAAAAGAGGAACGACACCCACCACTTGAACTGACGTTAAGCAAGACTAAAAGCTCCTTTAGGACCTTGTAAAACCTCTCCGAGCTATTCAAAGTAAAACGTGTATTGCTGAAGAAAATAATATCAGCTGCAGAGCTGAATAGAGAAGGTACAATAATTTGACGCATGTCGATGATATTGATATTATTGGCATCAACAAGTAGTGTTGAAGAAGTCTTTTGGTCTTATCATTGTTAATGACCTTTGATCCTTAATGTTAGCTCATTCGGTACTCTCTGAGATTTTTAACCAAAAGTATGTTCTCAAAACAGTAAGCTTAAGTCAACATCTTCCGAGAGTGGTATGGTATTTCGGGTTTTGTTGAGAAAGTGTGAATAATTAGTAAAAATGTTAAATTTGTATGATCCGTAATGAAAATTCAGAAACGATTTTTTTTATAGTTAATTAAGGGTTTAATTTTTTTAAGGTTAGGTCGTTAGGGTTGTCTCAATTATCTTTTTGTATTGAGTATTAATATTTCAATATTTCAATATTTACTATTCTAAAATATACCTAGAGAGGGCAAACATTTCTTGCTTCCAGAGTAAAGTCTCGAATACCAGTTTTTTCTGAAAGTGATTGACGTGAATATTTGAACGATACTGTTTTTATTGAAAATCCACGTTTACTCAGGAACTTTCAATGACATCCTCTCTTAGAATGCGAACAAAATTGCATAATAATTGCCAAAAAAATTGTTCCTTAATTATTTTTTGACCCTCCGCTGATAAATGGCCGAACAAGCAACACAGCAATATTAAAAGACACCAGAGTGAAGGCTTTGACGTAAATAAAACGTCTCCAAAATTCAAACTGACAGACAAGTGTGCCAATATCGTTGTACCATTTGTGCCATAGCCAGTACGTTCCTCAGTGAGCGATCTTCATCACTACAAATAAACAAGTTAACTCAACACTCAACGAAGTGAATGAAAGAGCAAATGTAATATTTGATAGCGAGAAAATGGGTAGAAGAGCGTTAAACATCATTTAAACGGAAATATGTGAAAATAACAAAAATAAAACACATAGTGAGAGAACACGGCTTCATTAAAAGCCAACGCAGAGCGCTGAAAAATTCTCATCAGCCGAAATTCATTGTGCACACATACTAATGCAATGATGCCCAACGCATTTCGTGGTAGTATTGTAACGAAAAGCAATCAATTGTGGAGAGCAAAACATCTGTTGGTAAAAACTGAAGAGTACAAACCGGCGAAATGAATGAAGTGAAGAAAAATGAAAAAGCCAAGCTTTTATTTGCGCGTATAAAAAAAATAAATAACGAAGAAGTGTAATTTTTAAATGGAAATATAAAAAATTATTGTTTTTATTTTTAACTGCTTTTGCCGGCTCTGCCTCCAGTAAAAGCAGGTTTGCTTATTTATTAATGAATGGGTTTCGTAAAAACCCCGCGTGCGTCAACAAAAATGCGAATAATCGAGTTTCGTCAAAAAATCGCGTAATTTTCAGCTTGATAATAATAATTTATTATTAATGGGATAGATTTTTTTTTTAATTTAAAAATTGCATTGTGTGAAAATATCGACAAAAATAATCCAAAAAAAAATTATTTTGTTTAATAAAAAATGCAAATATTAAATTGTGATGAAATAAATGCCTTAAAAAATATTAAAAAAAAAAAATATTTTGTGGGTCAATAAAATAAAATAAATAGCTAAAAAAAATTAAAAAAATTTTTTTTTTGTTAATAAAAATTGCAGTTATTAAATTATGATAAAATAAATGCCTTAAAAAATATTAAAAAAAATATTTTGTGGGTCAATAAAAAATGCAATTATTAAATTATGATAAAATAAATAGCTAAAAAATTTGAAAAAATTTTTTTTTTGTCAATAAAAATTGCAATTATTAAATTATGATAAAATAAACAGCTAAAAAAAATTAAAAAAAAAAATATTATTTTTTGTCAATAAAAATTGCAATTATAAAATTATGATAAAATAAATGGCTAAAAAATATTAAAAAAAAATATTTTGTGTGTCAATAAAAAATGCAATTATTAAATTATGATAAAATAAATAGCTAAAAAAAATTTAAAAAATTTTTTTTTTGTCAATAAAAATTGCAATTATTAAATTATGATAAAATAAATAGCTAAAAAAAAATTAAAAAAAAAAATATTATTTTTTGTCAATAAAAATTGCAATTATTGAATTATGATAAAATAAATGGCTAAAAAATTATTTAAAAAAAATTTATTTCTTGGGTCTATAAAAATTGCAATTATTAAATTATGATAAAATAAATGGCTAAAAAAATATTAAATATGTCTACAAGGAATGCTAACGCATAGTAAATATTAAATAGGAATAAATAAATAACGAAAAAAAAGTAAACAAATGTTTATGAAATATGGCACTATAAATAATGTCATATACATACATACATACGTGTTAGTTAATGCAATAAAAATGGTTATGATATAAAAAATACAACTATTTTTATTAGTGTTATAAATACATGCTTACATAAGATATAGAGCTGTTCAGCACTTCGCAGAGCAATTTTAATGAAATTCAAAAAGTCATAACATTTTATATTTTTAAATATTTTTAATTCATAGAAAAAAAGTTGTCAATTTGTTTACTTACGTCAAATTATTCACTTGTAGTGTCAGCTGACTATTTTTTGTTTTTCTTTATCGCGCAATTCAGTACTAAAAAATAGTGTTTTATGCCCTTTGCCATTTCATTAACAAATACATATAAAAAAACCGCATTAAAATACATGAGTGAAATACGAAAACAAAAAGCAAAGGAAAAATAAAAATAAAAAGTGTTAAATTCATAACAATAATTTTCAAAAGTCGCCCTAACATTATGTTTAACTCTTTTTTACTAAATTAAACGAATTTCCGCTTTTAAACGAATAACGACTTACATACATACATACATATATTTGGATAAACGAAAACGATATGGATCCGGCGATTTTGATAGGTAAGTTCGAAAATAGCTCCGTTGTATTGTATTAGTTAATATTAATTAATAAACAATGAGTTTGTTTACTGTGACTGACAGACATATGTAGATATGTGGCATGCTCTAAGCGTTTCACTAAATTAAACGTGGTATTTCCTTCAGAAAATGACAACGTTTCGTCACTGGACCATCTCTATTCCTTATGCATTCATTATTCTCTTATTTGGTTAATAATTTTGGGTGTAGAATATTCAATTTTCTTTTGAATGTGTAATTATTTTTTGTCAATAAAATACCTGGTAACTTAAACTTAACAATTTCATAAACTGCAAACCGTGCACTGAATATTTGACGCATCAGGAGTATCGTTGGGAAAAGTCAAAGGTAGATGGCTCACCCTGTGGTTTTTTAGTTATTGTGATTGCCATAATTATAGCGGAAACAATGTTAGGCCACACAGAGAGCTGCAACAAATGTCATTGCGAAGTTACTAATTCTACTGAGAGGCTCCATCAGACAGTCTCTCACATTTCTTCGATCAATGTTTAGATCTGTCCGATTCGAATGCATCTTCTTACTGCTATAAGCCCATCTTGTAACAGCCAATCTTCGCAAATACTTTTGCAGAAGAAAGAGTATACTCTCGTCGTAGGCGGTTCACTGAATGAAAAGTGGTTAAGCGATAGTTTTTACTCTTTGCGGCATTACAACGGACGTGTTATGAATGTCTATGTGATATCTTCTTTCGATCAGCCACTTCTCCCTAACCCAGCCCAATCTGCTTTGACAATATCTTAAATTTTCGCTGCAAAGATTGTATCCAATTAGTGGTGTATCTAAGTGAGGTAGGTAGGTAGAGAGTAATACTAACTGAAAATACCGTTGGGAGCGCCTTTTCTGATACACTCTCGTAAGGTCTTCAATTTCCTGCAATCGCTTTTCATTGTTTGGTTCAAACCCTTTAGTGAACTCAATGAAAGTAAGTATGTCCGATCTGCTATTTGAGGACAGTCATGCATGATTTTATATTTGATGAATTCCCTGTATTTAATATCGAGTTTGCGTGGGAGCTGGACGTTCACAGAGAATTGGATTATTGTTTCAGTATCTCCCTTTAGTTCGTCAAAGCTACGCCGATCGGCTGATAGAAAACTAAATCCGATACATACCTTCCAAAAGGTCAGTGACCGATTATTATGGCTTTAAGTCTACTTATGCGTTTCCTCAAGCCGTTTTATAGATGATATGCTTTGGGCATGCCATACTTGATAAAATCTACTTCGTTACACAACAGTTTGATATGTATTTGTATCTGTTTAGGTAAGCTTTCTCCTGATCGTTTCTAATGGATATGGTATTCTTTCCGCTACAGATTTGTCAAGTGAAGCTTAAAATGTTCGTTCCAATTCGAACTTGGTTATCAGCCAAATATTTAGTTATTCACTAAGTAATATCGTTTGATGACAGCTGATTTTTCGCAACCAACTTCGCTCTTAACCACTTTACCGTTATATATATTTATTTAATTATTCGAAAATGGAAGCTCAAAACCGGATTTACGGCATATTTTACTGTTCTACTATCGACAGGGTAAAATTGCAGTTCAAGCAAGGCGAAAATTATATGATATGGACGAGGAAGGTATCTTGATCGAACGCCAAAGCCAAAAGTTGGTTTGAAAATTTCGTGAGGAAGCATCGCGACTTGGTGGGCCTATTGAAGTCGTTGAGAATAAATAAAATCGTTGGTCGTCAAATAAAAACTAGAAAGACTGCTAAAAAAATTACATTAGTCTAATGTGGTTTAAAAAATTTTAAATTCTATCTAAATTGCAGTAATAAAATTAAATTACTTTATGAACGGCCCAATGTGTTTTATACCATTAGTTTTGGCCTCTGGAAAAAGCATAAAATATTTATAGCTTAATATATAATGTCGATTTTATAAAATAAATTAATAATAATTAGTTAATAACTCCTTAGATTTGGCGTTTAAAAAATGTATATTTATTTAGAAAATTCTTTTAAATCGTCTCGTAGCCTAAATACCTTTACCTTTATTTCTCAGTCATGCAATTTTGCCGCTTTCACAGCTTACAATTTGGTGAAGGTTTTTCTTCTGGAATCGACCAGTTCACCACCTATGAGATTTCTACAATAAATTGAGGTTTTAGTAGAACTTTCAGTAGAAATTTCAGTTGCTTTTGAAGACGATACTCGTATAATTTTCAAACTCTTTATATTCACGCCGCTTATCTCCATTGTTAGCTGTCTAATTCTGCCCTCTTCTCAGTTTTGAGTTTAATTCTTAATTAATGGCACTTTTGCGCTTTGTGTTATCAGTCACTTGTGTTTCCCCAATGCGAGCTTTCTTTTTACTTAAATAAATTATGTAATAATAAATAATTCATTTACCTCATCTGTGTGAAACACCTGCCTTAAAACATATGAAGTGCTGCTGCCAAATATGTAAACACTTTCAGAAAATAGTCAAAAGAAACAAAGCAAAAATTACTCTATCAAAATAAAAGAGCACAAAAGTGGTAAATAATCGTAAAAAGCAAAAAATATATATATACATAAATGGATATTCAGAATGACAAATGGCATTTACATATACATACATATGTACAAGCCTTTGTGTATGCAGATCTATGTGTACCCAGCACAATTTTTTTGGATAACTTGCTCCATTGGAGTAATCCAATAGGTACTCCTCTCTAATCAGCTATTGGATTAACTCCTCTATCGCTGCCACCCTGTTGTTAGCTGATGATGGTTGGTGTTTTAAAAATTGCAATTAAATACTAAAAGTTGTATAAACCATTCCGATCGGGTTCCGCTAGATGACGTTAGAAAGATGTGATTTTGTACTAAAAAAACCTCTCTGACAGTTTTGTGATTGTTTAATTCAGTTCGGTTTGAGCGTGCGTCATAGATGGACACTAGCATATGGAGAAAATACGCTATATTTTAGAGTTCTTTCTTAGATAAGAGCGATATTGGTCCTGAGATTGATGCAGTCGATCATGCACAACTTCGGTTTCATTCTGGTTATTTTTATGTAAGAGATGCTTCACGGAGTGGAAGGCGAATTGTCGAAAATGTCAATAAAACCATGAGCATTGTCGAGTCCGACCGTCATGTAAGCACCATCTGCGGGTTAGGGGTTCAAGAATTTACCCGCGGAAAGGCATGCCTGTCGTAAGAGGCCACTAAAATCCAATAGTTCCCGCGACAGTCGGATCTTTATACCGGAACGACCTGCATTTTTATCCGGCCAACGACTGTCACTCCTGCAACATTCCCCTTAAGCACTTTGGAGCTTAATCTTGTATCTCGATGTGTGGGTGCCAAACGAGTTAACGCATAAAAAACCTCATGGACCGAATTTCCATCTGCGTTCGATGACTGGCAATGAAAAGTAGATCACTTACGAGTAATGTCAAGCGAAAACGGTCGTGGTCGAAACGCGCTGAGCCGTCGAAAACGGTGCCCAAGCCAGACTTGACAGCGAGAAAGGTTTTACTGTGTGTTGGGTGAAAATGGCGGGGTATGATCTACTATGAGCTGCAAAAACTCCTAACTCAAAACTGTACCAACAGCAATTGGACCATTTGAAGGAAGCACTCACACAGAAACAGCCAGCTTTGGCCAATAAGAGAAAAATTGACTTCCATCAGGACAACACCAGGCCACACATATATCGATAGTATATCGTCAGAAGTACCGGGAGCTTGGTTGTAAAATTCTTATGCATCTATCTTATAGTCTAAACGTGGCACCAAGTGATTACCTGTGTAAGGCGAACAATTTTATGAAATTGGTCTCAACAGAAGCTTGAGAAAATGTATTGTTTCAATTGCTTATAGGAACGAGAGCTTCTATGAGAGAGGCATAATGAAACAACCTTTGAAAAACCAACAAGTTATCGCATCGTTCTAACTATAGTAATTAGAGTCTTCAATTTGATGAAAAAGGAAAGGAACTGTTCTTACTAAATCTAATATTCCACTATAGGTGTTTGGGGTATATGGTCCAGTTCTACTATATTTATATTTTCTGTATGAACTGTGATTAGTTTCGGATTACTTCGTTGTCTGCGTAGAGTGCATTTACATTTCACGCGTGCATGGTGTAGTCGTGTTTTTTGGAGGGACGCGTACGATTATATAAGGTTGTCAAATATCTCCCTTCCGCTTTTTTGCTCTTCATTCAATGCTTTATAAAAAGTGTTACAGTGATCGGATTTATTTAAAATATGTGCCGTTTCGTTCGATGATCTGTTTCCATCTAGACGGCAACTTCATATTACCTTCCTCGTAGAAGCCCCCCTCCTTAATTGCGAATAATTCGCCACTTTTAACAATCCTCTTTTGAGTTCAACTTCACACAACCAAGGGCATTCGCCATGGACAGAAACAGGTGGTAAACACTTGGCGCTACGTCCGAGCTATATGGTGGATGCGATAAAACCTCCCATCCGAGCTCCCGTAGCTTCTGACGAGCCATCAACGAAGTGTGTGGTCTGGCGTTGTCCTGGTGGAACACTACACCCTTCCTGTTGGCCAATTCTGGACGCTTCTGATCGACCGCCTGCTTCAAGCGGTCGAGTTGTTCGCAGTAGATGGTAGAATTAAGCGTCTGGCCGTATGGGAGCAGCTCATAAAGGATGATTCCCTTCCAATCCCACCAAACACACAGCACAATCTTCCTGGCCGTCAATCCCGGCTTGGCCACTGTTTGAGACGATTCACCGGCCTTCGACCATGACCGTTTTCGCTTGATATTGTCGTATGTGATCCATTTTTCGTCGCTCGCCAGTCACCATCCGCTTCAAGAATGGGTCGAGTTCGTTCCGTTTCAGCAGCATATCGCAGGCGTTGATTCGGTTCAGAAGGTTTTTTTGCGTCAAATTATGCGGCACCCAAACATCAAACTTTTTTTTTGTATCCAGCCTTCTGCAGATGGTTCAAAATGGTTTGGTGACTAACTCCCACCTCCTGGGCGATGTCACGA